GTACTTCGCGTTGAGCTCGCAGGGAGTCCTTGTGAGGCCCTCTTGGACACTGGGGCTTCGAGAAGTTTCATTAGTCCTAAAATTGTCGAACGACTGCAGCTGAAAGTGCGTAGACTTCCAAAAGAACATAGGTTCACCATAGCTACAGGTGCACAACTACGCATTGATCGGGTTGTGACGGGATTGACGCTGTGGTGCGGAGATACACATTTTTCCGGGGACTTTTTAGTGGTACCCGTTCCCTACGACTTAGTCTTGGGTTTGGATTGGCTGACGGAACACAAGGTGGCCTGGTATTTCCAGTCTGACAAACTCCGAACCTATGTGAATGGCCAGTGGTGCGAGTTACCGGTCGTTCGGACTGGTGAAACAACGCTGCAACGTGATAGTCCCACCGTAGTCCACCCAAGGACCCCAGCAGAGCAAGCATACGAGATATTGGCCAAACAAGTGGCGGGTATGTCAGCCGAGAAGGCAGCTATATTCCTACGCTCGCCTCCAAGGAGGCATAAGTCCCACGCGAAGACTAAGGCGAAGGCGCAGATAACGTCGCTCGTTCGTCAGGCGGCCGCCGACACAAATGATATCAGGACTCCATTGCACGGTTTGCATCTCATACTGGCTTTGCCCTAAGCCTGTTCGGCAGTGCCCTTAAGGCTCTCGGATGAATGGCAAGGCGCGCTTTGTTGCGCGTTGAATGGTGCAGCAGCAGCAGCAGCAGCAGCAGCAGCAGCAGCAAATCAAGTGCAGCAGCAGCAAGTAAAGCAGTCAGCAGCAACCTTAAGCAGCGGCAGCTGCACTAGTCCTTTGGCCTCAACCGCCTCAGTGGCAGTGGAGAGTCACGAGGAGTCTCCCTGGCCTATGGCAAAACTCGAGCACACTCTGTTCGACGAATGGATAACTTCGCCAGAGGCGCAGGATATTCCATGTGAGGTTGCCCAGGTGTTCCACGAGTATCGAGCGGTTTTTCCCGATACCTTACCTAAAGGATTACCGCCGAAGCGCCCTCATGATCACCATATTCTCCTTGTGCCTGGAAAACTCCCAGCGAGATCTGCAATATACCGTATGACCCCAGATCAGCTCACATTCCACAAACAGGAGATAGCTAAATTATCGGACAGTGGTCGGATCGGACAGACCTATTCGCCTATTTGCTCTCCTACGATCATGGTGGACAAACGTGATGACGGCTCCGGGGAGCAGAAGATGCGTATGGTTGTCAATTACCAGGCTCTAAATGCTCTTATGATAGCCCCTGATTTTCCATTACCTCCCATTCAAACCATTCTGGAGCTGCTGGGAGGCGCCAAGTATTTTTCCACCTTGGATCTTGAAGCAGGATTCCATCAAATACGTATGGCTAAGGAAGACCGGTGGAAGACGGCTTTCCGGTCCGTTTTC